TGCCTTCGTGCGATTTTTTTTTTTTAAATATACAATGCTAAGCCTTATATGAATATAATTTTTTTAGTGATGATTTCTGGTGCTCCAGTTGCTGAGCGTTAATCAGCTCTGATTAATTAATAAATAGTGATATCATAACACTTGTTAAATTTATCCATAGAAGGTTAAACATGTTGGTAAAATTTAATTTCAACAATCTCCAATTAAATTAACTAAAAATTCAATTTCCACCAGATAACTCTGAATTGCCTGATGGAATCACAAGTTTTGATCAAATGAATTCAGATGATATGATTATCAAGTTCACAAAAGCCCTGGAGTTGCTCCAGGAACCTTTGGAAAAACTCTTGGAAGAATATCATCCAGATTGTCTTGTTGCAGCTATGTTCTTTCCATGGGCTACTGATGCTGCAGCCAAGTTTGACATCCCAAGACTGGTTTTCCATGGAACAAGTTTTCTATCTTTGTGTGCTTCAGAACACATGAGGATTTTCAACCCCTACAAGAATGTATCATCTGATTCTGTGGGGTTCGTCTTGCCAAATCTTCCCCATCCTCTCAAGTTTAAAAAAAACACAGATTCCTAATTTTGGTGATGCATGAATTGAAAATGATTTCACAAAGTTGTTAACCAAAATAAAAGAATCAGAGACCATAAGCTATAGAGTTCTTGTTAACAGCTTCTACGAGCTGGAACCGGATTATGCCGATCATTTTAGGAAAGTTCTGAAAAGAAATGCATGGCATATAGGCCCTCTTTTTTCATGCAATAAGGGAAGAGAAGATGATAAAGAATAGAGAGGAAAAGAATCTGCCATTGATAAACACGAATGCTTGAAATGGCTCAATTCCAAGGAACCAAATTCTGTAGTTTACATCTGTTTTGGAAGTATGGCAACCTTTACTTCAAAACAATTACATGAAATTGCAAAGGGCGTTGAAATCTCATGCCAGAAATTCATTTGGGTTGTTCGAAAAGGAAAATGAAAGAACAAAAGATAAAGGACTAATCATAAGAGGGTGGGCACTGCAACTTTTGCTTCTTTAAAACAAAGCAATAGTGGGTTTTGTAACCCATTGTGGATGGAATTCAATGCTTGAAGGGGTGTGTTCAGGGGTGCCTATGGTGACATGACCAATCTTTGCAGAGCAGTTTTATAATGAGAAATTGGTGGCAAAAGTTTTGAGAATTGGAGTTTCTGTAGGAAGTAAGCAATGGAAAAGAGCGGCTAGTGAAAGCGTAGAAAGGGAAGCCATAGCGTTGGAATCCGCAAATCAATGTGAAGGTTGGTAGCATTGTATTAAAAAAATTCCCACGGAGGCACACGAAGGCACATCGTGTGCGTACGAAGGCACACGGATGTGCCTCCATGCTAGCACGGAGGTGCCTTCGTGGGATTTTTTTATTAAAATATACAATGCTAAGCCTTATATGAATATAATTTTTTTAGTGATGATTTCTGGTGCTCCAATTGTTGAGCGTTAATCAGCTCTGATTAATATATAATGATATCAAACACTTGCTAAATTTATCCATAGAAGGTCAAACATGCTCGTAAAATTCAATTTCAACAATCACCAATTAAATTAAGTAAAAATCCAAAGATACGTAGTTAAATTGAGTTTAAGAATGACAATAGATTGATGGTAATAGAAAATACCTTCACAACAAAAACTGAAAACTATTGAAAAAAATTGGCATTAAAATACCTTATTTCAATCACTATTTTGAGCAATCTCTTTCTCAATCTCATATGCCAGATAACGAAAACTCTGAATCCTGCAAAAACAAGGTTGGTTGACAAAATTAGAGGAGAGAAGAACGTAGGGACAAAAAACGGAAACATAACAACTCAGAACCCGAAAATATAATCCAAACCTGAGGTGTATTCCAATGGGAGGTTGTGTGGGAAAATGGAGGAGGAGTGGTTGGTTGCGTGAGATAATGGAGAAGTAGGACGGATGTGCAGGAATATTTGACGAATTTCAAGGGATTTTTTTTTTAAAAAGGGGGATTTTTTATGACGACGGAAAATGACGACACGTGTAACCTTTACTTTGGCTCTTATCCTACACACGCGCGCGCGCGCACACACACACACACATATATATAAAAGACTCACTTTTCCCAATACTGTTCATAAACCGAGTTGAGCCAAATGGCTTGACGGCTCGGCTCGGCTAAGCCGTTTTTAAACGTTGGATTCAGTATTTTAAGTTACAAATATTCGTTTTAAGCGATTTAAAATCTTTGGAAATGTTGAAGTGCGGCCATGATAAATATATGATCGATAAATTTTAAATATCAAAAATAATTTTACATTAATTGTGAAACGTAAAGTCGTGATTGTTTATGTTTCTTTTCAATCACAACCTCATTCCAATGTCCTTTTTTCGAACTTTATTTTCCTACAATTTTTCGTTTGATTCGATATTTCACA